ATTGACTTTCCATACTAACTACTAAGAGACTATACAAGAAAAAATTGAAAAAAACACAACTAACAAACATAAATAAACTCTAAATTGTTCAACTAATAAGATTTAATAAGAAAAAAATTATTAATTTATTTAGAAAAAATAAAAGAAATTGATTTATCAAATATAAAAAAAAATTTCGGTTCTTCGATTCTAAGTCTAGAACTAAGAACCGAACCAAACCATTCGGTTCTCGATTCGGATACCCGTTCGGGTATTTCATTTAAAAAAACACGCTCGGTTCGGTTTGGTTCGGACATTTTGCCCAGACCTACTTCTATTCACAAGAATGATATAATCTCAATTAAACATGTTAGAAGATGAAGGGGTAAATAATTCAAATGGTCACTAAACTTATATTCACGTTACAATTTAGTCACTCATCTTTAAATGGAATGACCAACCTCAAACGAAACATAGAGTTCGATGAACATTTTTTTTTTAGGGAAAAAAAAAAGTTGGTTGACCAAATAGAAACAAGTCCGAAGTTCATTGACTCATTAGGGTTTTCGACATTGGTTCTTCTATATACAACTATTTTTCTACTTACTCCAATAAAAAAAACTATTTTTTTAGTTTGCAAAAGAAATAAAAAGAGACAGGGTCATGAAAAGGGCGGAGCAAAGTGAAAACAACAAATAGTATACCTCCAGCTGCTCGTGCAGTCGCTTTTGAACCTCCATCTGTAGCTTGAGTGCTTCAGTGATTTGCATTCCACTGCAAGCAAAAATGAAATGAGTTACTTGATCAAAGAAATAAACCATTATAAACAATGTACTAAACACAAATAGTCAAAAGAGAAAAAGAAAAATAAAAGGTTCCTCCTAGCAAGAGATTTGGCCCTTGTTTAAAAGTGATTATTTGAAAATCACTTTCCCCCGCACTCATTTTCAACCACATTCTCCAAACAAAATTCATATTTTCATGTTTCCTCATAACTTTTCCCTACTTCTAAATCACACATTCCCCCAAAAAATCACTTTTCAAATAATAACTTTCAAACAAGCACTTGACAAATAATTACATCCCTTGACTTAAACTAATCTAACGGTCTAGATCTATTTTATTAAAACCTAAAATCTCTATACAGACATCAAACACATCAAATCCCTATAAGTCATATTAACAATACAATTTATTTTTGTCAAGAAACAATTACACGCTCACATGAGTCGGACAATAAAAATGTTTGACCAGGAAATTGTACTTACGATGAACCATCCAAACTCGAAAGCACATCTCCAGATTCCCTATTTTCAGCTTTTTTTCCTTATATATAGAAGCCAAGACAAAACAAACCAGTAAGCCATGTTTCAAACACTATTTACTCCAAGACATGCTACAAAGTTCAGCACATTTGAAAACATAGATGATAATTAGAGTAACATCTACTACTTAC